GAGATGAGCCTGCTGCTTGTGCTGCTTGGCATCCATAGCAGCTGCCGGCTCAAAGTTAACGCTGCTAGGCAGGCTGCCTCCTTCGCGCTGCCGGCCCGAGACGGATGAGTTCTTGATCTTCTTGGATGCGGATGCAGATGTGGAGGTGGCGTTTTGGTTGTGCTGCTGCTGGCGTCGATTGGAGCGACCACTCAGCTGGTAATCACAGTTGAAACGTTGCGTGGCTGCCGTTGTGGCCGCCGTCGCTGCAGCCGCCGCCGCCGAGGTGGTGGCCAGCTCGCTGCGGTGCGCCGCCTCGACGAGATCCTGCAGGGAGCCGCCCTGCTTGTGCCGCTGGGCGGGATCCGTGGACCGGTGATTGGTGGAGTGGTAGCTGCTGTTGTGCCCTGCACTGCTGCTGCTCCCGCCGCTCGAGCCTGCTGCTGCACTGGACGCTAGTGCGGATGGGTTGAGTGTGAGGCAGGATTTGATGGCACGATAAGAGATCTCCTCGTCGTACTCAGCCTTTTTGAGCATTTGCTGAGGGGGTAGAAAAATCAAAAATTTTAATAGGGTTGGAAAATATAAGACTATGATTTATTTTAGTGATTCCTCAGTGACAGAATAGATTTGAGACTTATGGCAATTCCTAAAAGGAAATCCCTTATGTTTATTTCAAAGAAGTTTGGATAGTTAACTTAAATCCAAGGTTTATCTGATCTGTAGAATAACAGAAGAAAGAATTTGCCCCACAAAATAATGTTATATAAGAAAAGCGTCTTAAAATCTAAAGCTTTGGCTTTTGGAGCTATGTATGTATGTATTATCATAACTCTTGTGTGGAGCCAAAGAAAAACAATACCATCGTGGATGTTTAAACATACGTTTGTATGATCATTTTGTGTATACCCAAAACTTACCAGAAATCGCTCGCTCTTGTTCTTCCTGTCGCCAGGATTTCGATACCAATAGGCCTCCTCGAGAAGTTTTTTCAATGATGCGTCGTCGAGATCATTAAAATCGCTATCTTCCCACGTATCGTATTTTGTCTGGAAATGAGTAAAAATATTCTCAACTTAGTTTTCCAGTTCAGACTTAACCTTTAAAAAAAAACTGAGAAAGAGAACAGAGAACCAAGCTCTACTTATTCCAAACACATGCCCTTCCAAGTTCCCCAAGCGTACTGTTCGAGTACCGAGAGAAGAGTTATAGGAGTATTAAATAGCACACGGTTCAAATAAATAAACTATGCCATATATGGTGTATGTATATGGTGTTGCACACGAAAAAAAAAGAATAGAAACAGTAATGAGGAATTTGTGCGGTTATTGCGGCAGTTGTCGCCAATGTTATTGTTAGATAGAGTAGCTCTTTTTGTGGTTTTATGCGTTTCTTCTGCCTCCCCGATACGGATTCGGAATCTGAATTGAAATAGTAATCGTAATCGCTGTTCAAAAAAAGCCCACTGCAATCTGCAGAGATTCCAGTGAACTCTGTTCTCTCACGATTCTAATTTCCTCCGTGTTTCTTCCTTTCCATCGGTACGCATTTGTGTGGGTTTGTGGATCCCTCGATCAGGCCCAAGTTAGCTGTACAATTTCAGACCCTCCCGAACTGCCTTGCAATATCTTTGGCCAGAGCGAGATGGCAGGAACTACTATTGAACCAAAGCTTTATTTTACCAACTACTACTTTGATATTATCTTCATTAGAGGGGTACTAAAGCTAAATTAAAACGTGTATTAGGGTGATGCGAACGTATTTAGTTTGGAAAACAAGTTATTTACATAAAATATTGCTGATAATAAACCCAGAGGACTGCGAAATTTTAATTTAACTACAGACCAATTTAGTTCTAAAACTATTTGATTTATATTCAAAGTATAAATAGAGTTGCCGAAAGAACTACAAATTTTCCTTTGATACTGTATTTAAATCCTGAAGGGATTTTATGAATATACTGTGGGGTACCTAAAATATGATAAGTAAAGCTACTGTAGCTCATTCATATTATTTTCTGTATTTTTTTTTTGCGCTTTGTAAGGTAATTGCACACAAAATTTATCTACAGACATTTATTTATTTTAGTTTATAGTTTATGGCTTAGTGAATGAGTATGCAAATCTGCGAGCGTGTGTGTGGGGACTATTTTTGCAAAGAAACAAGTCGATATTAATAGAATGTTTATTCAATTATATCAATATGTAATTTAAAATGTTTAAATCAAGGCGTGACGTAGGAATCGGACGGATCCAAAACGTATTATTTTACACCAATTTAATTGCAATTTATATATTACCAATGGATAATAGAAACATAAAATACGTATTGAACATTTCTTTTTTGTGGGTTGAATTCCGCAATCGTATTAGACTTGGCAAGAAATTGTAAATTTGTATACCATTATTTTATGGTATTAAATGGTTATAATTTAAAACTTTCCTATTTCCTTATAGTCTTGATTTAGGGAACAGTTCGAATCTAACGACGTATACTATAGATATAAAATATAATAAGAAAAACTCTGTTTCTGTTTAAAACCAACCTATTTTCAACATATCCATACGGCTCTTTCCCAAACTAACCAAAAAAGAAGTATAAATCTGCCGTAGTTTTAAGGAGCCACAAATAATATATAGTATTTATATTATTTCTGCTAATAAGGTGATAGATTCCATTATTTAGAACGGACTTTCTTACCTTTTTCTTCTTCTGCCGCTTGCCGACATTTTGATCGTCCTGGGTCTTGCCCTTGGCAGTGGCCCCATACTGGAGGACTCTGTGGTTTGGTCGCGACAGTTCTGCGCCGGGCGTATCATTCAGCATGGCGAAGAAGAAGGATGAATCTACTGGTGCTGCTGCTGCTGAACCCTTGGCAGCATCTGCCGCCGCAGCGTGGTTCGTAGAGCTATGGCTATTACTAGGGGATGATGACTTCTTGGGGTCACTGCCTCTGCTGCTAGTTGCTACATGGCTGCTTGGTACATGGTTGGTAGCCACTGCTGCTGCTCCTTCTGATTCTGCTGCTGCTGCTCGTGCTGCTTCTACGGCTGCTGCTCCTGCTGCTGCTCCTGCAGCAGCTCCTGCGGCTTCTGCTGCTGCTTCGGCTGCTGCTCCATGGGTGTCGTTGCCCTTGATCAAGTCAAGCATCGCACCGAATTCCGTCATCATGTTAATGAGCTGCTCCTTCGAGAACGACGTCGGCGTCGTTTGGGTTACGGTGGTCGTCGTGGTGCTCTGGCTCATCGTCCCAGCGGCAATCGAGACGATGGGCGTGTCCGGTATGATCGTGGGCAGCTTGATATCATCTCCTCCAGATCCCACACGATCCGCCGGTGTGTCCGATGATGACGGCGTTTGTTCATTGTTCATCTTTTTTCGTTTGGTGGCATGCAACGAGCGAAACAAACAAATGCCATTCGAATTCGTCGAATCTGCTTGGAAATGCAGTTTATGTTTTTAGAATGCTGTTTGAATGTTACTATACAGAGTGTATATAATATGGAGGACTTACAAACTGTTGCCTCTCCTCGGTTTTCCTAGGAAGCCCAGCTGCCCAGCCGCCGTGTGGTCGCCACCGCGGCCGCAAGTGCTCTGCCGCGTGTGCTGGCGGTTCCTCCTGGTTCACTTCCGATTGCCACCGATTCCTTACTGACTCTCAGATGGTATGAGATAGGGAAATGGTTATGGATGGGTATGGATACGAATACGCGGGGCGGGTGGGGGTGGGCCCACCTATTGCGTATCACACGAGTCTCCTGCTGCACTTGACAGGCCTGTCGTCACTGGGTCTGCTTCTACTTGAATCTCTGGCCGTGGCATTTACGTAGGTCCCTGTGAAGTTCTGAAATCCAGAGAGTCACGGGGATTGGGATTAGTTGTTGGGCATGCGAATACGGGATACGGAATACGGAAATGTGTGCGCACGGGGCTGCAGTCGTATGGGAGGTGTGGAAAATGTGGGAAATGGGAAAAATTGGGGGGAAAACTTGGGGAAACTGGGGGTGAAGGTGAGTCTATAACTGAAACTGAAACTGAGACATATTGGCCCACTGACTCTGTTCTGCGGCATTTGTTGTTGTTGTGGCTATGCGGACAAGTGGCGCTTGGGCGGTGGGTGGTGGTGGGTGTGTCTGTTCGCTTTAGCGGTCCTTTTCCGGCCCACTGGCTTCACATTTCTTTAAAAAGCACAGGATTTTTCCCCATATTTCATTCGGTTCGTTTTTTCTTTTGCTTTGCCTGGCCAAGCCGCACAGTGTTGCCAACTGCGCTGGAGAGCCAGGGTTGTCCACCCGCGTTGTTGCGCCTAACGACAGCCCGCCCGCTGGGCCTGGAAAATGTGGTCAATCCCTGGCATTTCCCCCGCACAAGCGGGCCCCAAGTAAATGTGGGAAAACCTTCTCCCAGCTAATTAGCAATAACAAATAGAGGTCTATTTTAGAAATGCCCCCAGCAAGTTGGCAGCCCTGCGGCTGTTGTCAGTGGCAACACTAGCGCAAAACACGTCATTTTGCCACAGCTTTTTCGCAGTTAATTCGCCAGCTTTTGGGCTCGCTGGCCAAAATGCCCCACAGTTGTATGCACAATTACCCAGTAACTGGAGTTTTCCGGCGATCATAGTAGTCATTTATTGATAAATACGCCAGGCGAATACAGCTGTATAACTTTCTGCGCACTCACACGCACACACACACACAAGACACACGGGCGCAGGTATGCGCCTGTGTACATTTTTCTGACCTTCTCGGCGTTTTTTTTTGGTTTTGATTTCGTTTTTGGCAATTGAAAAGACGGTATTGCACAGCCGCGCACTCGAGTTATGCGTTCATTAACTGTCCCTCGAATTGGGCAAATCGCAAACTGGTCTCTTATTATCCTACAGATGTCTGTTATAGTTTAATTGCAAAGTAGCATGAAGATTCTGAGCCGAAGAAAACACTATGAAATTGTTGTTGTGTTTTGCAGCACTTTGAATGGACGACGCTGCGCAGCACTGTGCCTGTCATCGATAATTTTAAACCGCTGATGTCACTGATATCTGCTGCCTATCGATAGGTCGATAGTCTTGATTGTTTTGGGAAAAAAATTGTTTATATATTTTATTATTTAGAAAAAAGATAACAAAACAAATGAAAATCAACCACAAATATGAGTTCGACGACGATGTGGCCTCCATTTGCGAGTCAACGGTGGGCTGCCTTGTGCCGTGTGTCCCTTTGGGTGGTTGCTTCAATGGTTTTGTCCCTTTTCCAGGCCGCCCTCACTGAAGGATGCCGTCTGCCCGTCAGGATGCACAAAACGGATGACTGGCCGCTGGCGGAGATCGTGAGCATTAAGGAGCTTGACGGACGCCGGCAGTTCTACGTGCACTATGTGGACTGTGAGTATGGCCACCTCCAGTTCGAACATCTCAACATGTTATCCCCGAATTCGCAGTTAACAAGCGCCTGGACGAGTGGGTCAACGAGGAGGATCTGTACACGAGAAAGGTGCAGTTTCCGAGGAGAGATGGCTCTCAAACGGGCACCAGCACCGGCGTGACCACTCCCCAGCGCCATCATTCGCTGGCGGGTAGCGTTTCCCGGCCCACATCGCCGCAACATCCAGGTTCCGGAACTGTGCCATCAATCCCGTCGACTCCCAGTGCTCCAGCAGGCAGTGCTCCCCCTCCAGCAGCAGTTCCCAGCTCGGTGCCTCCTCCTGGGACGCCCAGCAGTGGCGGAGAGCTTGTGAATGGCAACAACCTGGCTGCAGCCCTGCAGAAGCGCATTAATCGCAAACGCAAAGTCCACGGAGGTTCGGCCCATGGTCACCACAGCCTGCAAGTGCAACAGCAAGTGCCAGTTCCGCATCCCACTACTCCACAGACGCCCACGGCCACGCCCGTGCATGTGACAGGCGACGGCCTGATCAGTGGAGCGGCCAACGAAGACGGCGATGGCTCGCAGGATGGCAAGACGCCCACGCCGAGGCAATCGGGCAGCATGGTGACGCACCAAGACGACGTGGTGACGCGCATGAAGAACGTGGAGATGATCGAGCTGGGCAGGCATCGTATTAAGCCCTGGTATTTCTCACCCTATCCGCAGGAGCTGTGTCAAATGCCGTGCATCTACATCTGTGAGTTCTGCCTGAAGTACAGGAAGAGCAGAAAGTGCCTGGAGCGGCACCTTTCCAAGTGCAATCTTCGGCATCCGCCGGGCAACGAGATCTACCGCAAGCACACAATCTCCTTCTTCGAAATAGACGGCCGCAAAAACAAGGTGTACGCCCAGAATTTGTGTCTTTTGGCCAAACTCTTTCTGGATCACAAGACGCTCTATTACGACACGGATCCGTTTCTTTTCTACGTTATGACCGAGTTCGATTCGCGGGGCTTCCACATTGTGGGCTACTTCTCCAAGGAGAAGGAGAGCACAGAGGACTACAACGTGGCCTGCATCCTTACAATGCCTCCGTATCAGCGCAAGGGCTACGGCAAGCTGCTCATCGAGTTCAGCTACGAGCTGTCCAAGTTCGAGGGCAAGACGGGGTCGCCTGAGAAGCCCTTGTCGGATCTGGGTCTGCTATCCTATCGATCCTACTGGGCGCAAACCATACTGGAGATTTTCATTAGCCAGAACCCGAGCACGGACGGCGAGAAGCCCACCATAACGATTAAGTAAGGCCAATCCGAAGCTCTTAATGATGCGATTTTAATTTGGGGAGTTCATGCTAGATATTATTCCTTAGTTCAAGTTGATCGTAGGTAGATATACTCTAATCTTGTACTTCCTTCGTTCAGCGACATCTGCGAATGCACCTCCATCAAAAAGGAGGACGTCATCTCTACGCTGCAAAACCTAAACCTGATTAACTACTACAAGGGCCAGTACATCGTGTGCATCAACAGGGACACCATCGAGCAGCATCGGCGGGCGATGGACAAGCGCAAGATTCGCATCGACTCCAAGTGCTTGCACTGGACAGCCAAAGACTGGTCCAAGCGCTCCAAGTGGTAAACTCTCTTATGTTTATCAATAACAGTATGTAAAATAATTTCCATTTGCTTTCCAGAATGCCGCTGCCGATTATCCTCATCGGATGGACCGTTGCATTCGTTGTAGCTCGTAGTTTTCATTCGCAATGCTCCATTCTTAATGTTTTAAATTATTTTATATCCTAAAAATATACATATACACTTTTGTGACGACACGCTAGTTGACTGAATCCCGCGGAGGCAGTAGGTCGTCCACAAGGCGATCCATGGCCTGCATCATGCCCAACTCCATCCCGTTCTCCAATCCATCGACGGCTGTTCGTAGGCCGTTGAAAGCTTCCTGATTCTGGGCAAACTCCCGCTGCTGCCGGCTGAGGTTTAGGCGTGGCTTGTGGGCGGTCTTCAGGTGCTCTAGGCACTGCTCCAAATCCTTGGAGTCGAGGGTGGCGGGGCGTAGATCGCTGCTGAGCTTGGATCGCAGACTATCGATATCCTTGGCCGCCTGCTCGATTTTATCCACATCAGGGACGCGCTGGGCATCCACGGCCGTCTGCAGTGCCGCACACTTTAGAAGCCTTGCTAGCCGCCCAAAATCCCGCTGATAGTCGCACTTGGCGTCCAGCCAGGTTCGCACTTGCTCCTCCACCTGACGCTTCACGTTGCGACTGTCTTCCTGGTAGCGTCGCATCGCCTCCAGGTGCAGCAGGTACTGGATGTCGTCCATGCCCTCGGGCGCCCAAGTGGGCGGTGTGAACGAGGTGGACGTGGGCGATGTCTCCATATTTTTATTCTTTTATTTAACTTTACTTAATTTAACAAAGAGAGGGAAATTCGGATTCGATTGCTAGCTGCTTTGGTTTTGGTGGCTTGCTATCGGGAGCAATCGATAACTGCTAACGGGGATTTTAAGTACCGTTTGAAAATAGCTACTTTCATATCTGGCTATTTCTCATATATATTTAAAATCGTAATAAAAATAACACTGTTCAAATATTTTAACAGCCTTTATATTTAGTGAGTTTTATAATTTACTACAATAATCACATTAATTTAGATTATATTGCTCACGACCAAACTTCACAATGTATACTGGGTACTATAACGTTATATGTACTATGAAATCCAATAAATATTAATGAATAAGAAATTTATATTATTTTATGTGGTACTTTCATATATAAAACAAATTTAGCTGTTTTTCTGTTTAAATTTCTTTATTTTTAGTGTTTACCAAGAGTATTTAGCTTTTTTGTATCGATAGTTGACAATACAGTTTTGGCGCCAAAAATTGTGTTTCTTTAAGATGGTGAATTAAGCCCGCTAAAGTTCTTCATTGAATTTCATTAAACTAGACTATTCAAAATGGAAATCAAGGCTTGAGAATATGGGGTTTCAGTTAAAGCTCGGACTTATAAATGTTGTACAGTTAAGCTAACTTGCAATAGTCCGGCAACACTCGACCGCCAGTATTGCCAGACAACCGGCGAACACGTTTTATTTGTTTCGGCGAAATAAATAAACGTTGCTTTACTTTTTTTTTTAACTTAATCGCTTGATAAAGCAGCACTAGCTCAATCTTGATAAATGGGACGAAACAAGAAGCAAAATCCCTTTGCGGCCCGCAAACGTCAAAAGCGGGAGAACGTGAGTTTGCCAAAGTCCAATGGAGCAGCACTCCACGTTTTCAGATTTTAATGTCGTATATTTACCATTTAATAGGGTCCCGAGCGCCCCGATCGCAGAGCTCTGCCGTACGAGGAGATAAAGAGGGACAATGCCTTCTTCATCAAGTACTACCACCTGCAGAAGATCTGCTCCAGCGAGGAGGAGTGGTCGCAGTTCCTCGAGTCCATCAGGGACAACCTGCCCACCACTTTCCGGGTGACGGGATTCAAGGACGAGGCCAAGGCCCTGCTCTCGATCATAGAGACGCAGCTGTTCACCGAGTATGTACGGGCGGTGGCCGAGCTGCACCAGAAGGCGCCCGAGGAGGTGGAGCGTCCGCTGTGCCTGCCCTGGTATCCCAACGGGCTGGCCTACCAGCTGCACCTCACCCGCAAGGACATTCGCCGCTCGGAGCCGCTCTACCGGCTGCACAACTTCCTCATTGTGGAGACAACGGCGGGCGGAATCAGCCGGCAGGAGGCCGTCTCCATGATCCCCCCGATTGTCCTCGATGTCCAGCCCACGGACAAAGTTCTGGACATGTGTGCCGCGCCGGGCTCCAAGACGGCCCAGCTGATTGAGGCTCTGCATGCTGCCCCCGAGGAGCACAAGATCCCGCCCGGCTTTGTGCTGGCCAACGATGTGGACAACAACCGCTGCTACATGCTTGTCCACCAGGCCAAGCGCCTGAACTCGCCCTGCCTGCTGGTGACCAACCACGACAGCAGCGCCTTCCCCAATATGCTGACCACCCAGCCGGATGGCTCCAAGGCCATCCTCAAGTTCGACAAGATCCTGTGCGATGTGCCCTGCTCTGGCGACGGCACTCTGCGCAAGAATCCTGATATTTGGCTCAAGTGGAACCTGGCCCAGGCCTACAATCTGCACGGCATCCAGTACCGGATCGTGCGACGTGGCGCCGAAATGCTGGAGGTGGGCGGCCGCCTGGTGTACTCTACCTGCTCGCTGAACCCCATCGAGAACGAGGCGGTGCTGCAGCGCATCCTCAAAGAGGCCGACGGAGCCCTGGAGCTGGTGGATGCGGGGCACTTGGTGCCGGGCCTCAAGTACAAACCCGGCATGACCGACTGGAAGCTGGCCACCAAGGAGGTGGACCAGATCTTTACAAGCTTTGACCAGGTGCCTGAGAGTCTGCACACCATTATACGGCCCGGCATGTTCCCGCTGCCCGCCGACGAGATGGCCAAGATCGGGCTGGAGAAGTGCCTGCGTGTGCTGCCGCATCTGCAGGACAGCGGCGGCTTCTTTGTGGCCGTCCTGGAGAAGCGCCGTCAGCTGAGCTTCGAAAAGAACGATGTGGTGGAGGTGGTTGAGCAGAACGAAAAGGCCAAGGAGCCGGCAGCTGAGCCGCAGCTGGATGAGGAGGGCAAGCCCATTGAGGAGAAGTCCGTGCCTTGGGGACCGCAGCGGAAAAAGCGACGCCTGCATGGCTACAAGGAGGATCCTTATGTGTTCTTTGGCGAGAACGATGCCGACTACGAGGCCATCAAGGAGTTTTACCAGCTGGACGAAGCCCTCAACCAGCGATGCCTTCTGACGCGTTGCATCACAGACAAGAAGAAGAATATCTACTACTGCTCGGAACCCATCCGCGATTTGGTGCTCAACAATGAGCACAACATCAAGATCATCAACACGGGCGTGAAGACATTCGTGCGCTGCGAGAACCGACACACGGTGCATCCGTTCCGTTTGGCCCAGGAGGGTCTGCAGACCTCGAATGCTTTCATGGGCGCCAACAGGCGAATCCAGGTGGAGCGGGAAGATCTGGTGATGATGCTCAACTGCACCGATCCCACACAGCCGCCGTCGACGCACGAACTGAGAAAGGAAACGCAGGAGCGTTGCAAGGAATTGGGTAAGTCCTTAAATGCGTCTCCAGTTATGGCGATGATCTAATGATTGATCCATTTCAGGAGTGGGCAGCTGCATCCTCAAGTACGTGGACGAGCGGTTCACCCTGTACACGGTGGGTTGGCGCGGCACCTCCAGCCTGCGCGCCTATGTGCACAAAGACGAGACCATCCACATCCTGCGACTGCTGGGCGCCGATCTCAGCAAGTTCGAGACCAACAAGTACGAGGATGCGAGAATCGCGGCTGCTGCTGCGGCAGAGGCAGCTGCAGAAGCTGGCAAGGATGCCGAAGGATCCGAGTCCTCGGGCGAAGGTGCCGCCGCGGAGTCCGCATCCCCTGACAATGGTGCTGCAGATGCTGCCGAATCAACGACCACGCCCATGGACACCGAAGAGGTGGCCACGAAAAGCTAGTGCTCACTCGGAGTAGCTCCGAAATCTAGCATTTAAGCGGACCATTTGTATAATTATTACGAATCAAAAGTATATATTCCCCTCAAGTGGACAAAGTTAAACAATTTGGATTATTATTTTCTAGCTATGTGTAAAGTATCCACTAGAACAAGAACAACCCAAGCGAAAGTCGTTGCATTTTTAGTACGTTTTTGTTATAAAATGTTACATTTATGTTTTATTTTTCCCAGTATAAATATATCGTATGTAAAGTATATAAAAAAAAGTTCATTAAAAAATTACACATACTCTTTATATAGATGCTTTTCTACCGTAGTTCTTTTTGTTTTTCTGTTTTATACGCTTCATACGTTGTTTCGTGTCTTTTAAAAAGTATTTCTCATATATTTGCTGTCTTTTTTTCTTTTTTGTGTAAATGTTTTGAGTAAGTTGGCTGTCGTATTGCTTTGTATCTGCGATTTTTCATTCCTTTCAAGATGATGTGTGAGTGTCGTGTGTTTTGGAAACATTTATGCACAAGTATATGGGATAGACAAAGGTTTATTTTATGTTAATTACGCTGTAGGAATGAGACTGGCTCTCTTGCTTGTTAATACAAAAAGTATATATATAAAAAAATAATGCAAAAAAAAAAAACAACCGGAATATAATAGTAAAATACTTTTGCAACCACGCGCATGCGCAGCGGTTCGAATTACTTGGTAGCAGTGGAAAAATGAGAGAGGGAATAGCTTTATACGTATAAAGAGTGAGATGCGGCGAGACGAAAAATAGAGACGGGGTGACTGAGGATCGGATCTCGGATCTCAGATCTCCGATCTCGGATCTCGGATCGGATTGGACCACATTGGAGCCCCCTTTTTAAGCCTGCTTCTCGGCCTCGATCACCTCCTTGGTGGGCAGCACGTTCTTCTCGTTGGTCTCGGTGTGCTTCAACTTTTTCGCATCAAAGTTCTCGATGCCGGCGATGAACTGATTCTTCTCCTTCTCCTGCTCGATGGCTGCAATTTGAGTTGAGAAACAACAACATACATATAACATATAACAATTATAGAGCGTGCATTGGCCAACTAAGGCAGCCGGTCTTTGGCTTTTATGGCCATGCCATGTATATACTATATACACTAGATGGCCTACAACGCACCTTCCTTATCGGGCAACGGGTTCTTCTCGTGGGTCTCCGTGTGCTTCAAGTTGTTCTGATTGAAAGCGGTGATGCCCTCAAAGATCGACTGTTGGGTCTTCTCGGCAGCCACATCTGCGTTTCGAAAGGATTGGGTTTCATTTTTTTCATTGTTTGCCATCAGACCTTCACTAACAACTAACTCACCTTCGGCGGTGGGGAGAATGATCTTCTCCTGGGTGCTGGCGTTCTTCAGTTTGTCCTGGTTGAAGCCCTCCAACTGGCTCTTCAGGTTCTCGGCCACCTTGGGCAGGTCCTTGAGTGCTGGTGCTGGGGCGGCCATCTAAAAAAGGGGGGTTTGTAATTATATAGAGGTTGCAACCAAATAACAAATAGCAAACATTTAAAATATTTTATTTTTTATATGGAAAAATAATAATTGCTTGGTTTTTAGTGACTTAATGGCCCATCGATCATTAAGTAATATGGCTTTTGGAATTTATGATAGTAGTTTTTCCACTAGATAACAAACTTTGATAACTTAAGATAGGTTATTGATATTGATAGTACCCTTAAAAGTAGTACTCTTAAGAATAAAATAAACCTTCCATAAAAAATATCACTTCGTGGTAACTAGATAACCGTTACCATGTTTACACACATACCGGTTTTCGTAGAATATAAACTGGAAAAAGTAAATTTTTCCGGAATTCTTTCTCTATTTGCAAGGAATTAAGTCGCAAAGTCTACTACTGATTAGGAAAAACTTTTAAAAATAGATAGCTTAAAGATTACCTTTCTATATACTTTGTATTTTGTATACAATACTCAATTCTACAGAATTTGTGGCCTCAAATTAAATACTTTCTGAATTATTATTGGCAACTTGATTCCCGCATTCAAACATTTCCAGGCCGGAAGAGGATATCGATGTTATCGGTGGGTAAGAGGAAGCAACTCTCCGATAGACGATCCCCGTTGTTGTTCCCCCTTGCTTGCTTTTGTTGACACTCTGTTGCGCCTTAATAAATAATTCATTTTCGTTGGAAACGAAACGTAATATCTCTTTGTTGACCGTTGGTTTTATTTACTTTAGCCGGTCGATTTCTCAAGCGATAGCCAGCGAAGAAAAAAGTTAATCACACGAATGTGGGGCGATAACGATGACTCAAAAGCGCGCACACATACAAATGAAGCAAGGACGAGCGGGCCAAGTGTATGTGTGTGTTTCCTATCATAAAGAAAGAAGGAGAGAGAGGGAGCGAAAGAAAGAGCGAATGAAGAAAGAGTTCAGCGAACCTTTCCAACTGGAAAGAGATTACAACGACTCCAATTGGATTTGCTTTCTGTTCTTGGCCTTTGTTTTTGCTTTCCGCACTGGCATTCTTATCAGAAGACATGTGTACTTGGCCAGCGGTTAAACTGCATTTTATCACGTTTATTTTTAGTTGCGAAATTCGAGTGTGCGTGCAATAGCCCGTTTACCAATTCCCCATTTGCCATTCCCCCCCAGAAAAGACAAAGAATCTTCTTTGTGGATCGATATCATGCATTGCCTTCGATTGAACAGCTGCTGCTGATTGAAATGCCCAAGCTGAGGCTGCAGCTGAATTGCAATCGTTACAAGGGCAGCGACCGCGCCAAAAACAAAACGGAGAAAAAGCATCGCGAATCGAATCTATATTTATTTATTTGCACATTTATGGCCATAAATGGTCGTAAAGCTGCGCCTCAAGCGGCTGGCCAATCACGTTGATTGACTAACTGACTAACGGCCGGCGATTTCCCCCCTCCTTTCCCCACTTTCCCCGCTCAAAAGCCTATCTCAACTCACTCGGTTCATGCGGCACTTTCATCACGATCCACAAACCAAGCTTAACTGGTTGTTATTCATCACTCTGATCTAGAAACTTGGTGATTTTCATGCTTATAACATGGATACTTGTTTTCAATTTCTAACCATATCGATAATACACAATTTAGCCGATGATTAATTCTGCTCGCTAATCTGTATTTCGATAATGCTGATGAATTGCTCATAATTTATTATCGCTTCCAAAAATAACACCAATGAACCAATAATGAGAAAACCTAGCTAAACAACCGAACGATTCATAATCTGATCTAGAAATTATTCTTGTACACGTAACTCATTTGGAAGGTATGATATCTTGTTTGCGGCAACTGAACGCCAAGTTTTATGATCATAACTAGAATAAATTATTCATAAATTGCTGCTGAAATTAGGTATATAAAGTATACGGTAGTTGTAATAAAATAATAGTAATAATAATAATTTCTAGAACTTGGAGTTTTACATACGTTTTCCTGTAATTTTACGAGCTCAACTCATAACGATCTTAACGCTTAATTTGAATTTCGATTAATTGGTCATCGTGTAAACCGAGTGTCGTATTAGTCAGCTCCTTGCGGCGAACAAAGGAGAGGCAACAAAACAACAACAACAACGGCGACTTCGCATACATACAAAGTGGGAGTGATTGGGTGGGGGGAAGGAGGGGTGGTGATTTCCAGGGGGAGGGGGCCATGAAGTTCGCCGTGAATCAACTTCCAACTTCGAAATTCGAAATATGGTCGACCCGCTTAAAAGCCGCCGATGAATCATCGGTTTATATTGCACATGTACACAAGCAAACATACACATGTATGTATATTGTATATTGTATATGTTTGTTTGAATTTATCGTTGCCCACACAGCTGTGCTTCTTCTTCTCCTGACTTTGTAAGCTTTTCTTTTCCTTTCCTTTACTTTCCTCTTCCCCTCTTTCTCTCTCTTCCTGTTTTTGGTTAGTTCTTTTACAGATATATCTTGTCGTTCTGCTTTTTTGGTGTTTTTTTGTGCTTTTTGTTTTTGGGGGTGTGAGTGAGACGGCGCCAAGAGACCGTTAAAAACAAAAAGAATTTGTTTGGTGAACAAAAAAAAAGAATGGGCATGAATTATATGTAAAACAAAATGAGTCAAAGCTGCTGATGCGTGGCAACCAGCCGACGAACGGAGTGCGAAAAGGAGGCGAGAAGAAAGGCGGAGGAGGAGTTGCAGATGAAGATGGGGGAAATGAGAAATGAGAAATGACAGACACGTCCGCTTTACATTTACACCCTCAACTCGACTCCTGCACAAATGCAGCAGTGTGTGTGTGTGCTAGAGGGAGAGAGCGAGAGAGACAGGGACAATCGGCGACTTGCAATGAATTTTAAGCACTCGCATTATACATTTTATTTTCGTGCACATTATATACCATACACACACCACACACACACACATAGGCGCACAATTTATGCAGGCGGCTGCGTTTAGTCATATATTCAATTTCAAAATCGCTGGGGATATTGGATATCCAAGTACCACGCCCAGTAAAATTTGCAATTCGCACACACACACTCGTGCATCCCACAGCCGAGGTCACACCGATAGGATGGCACTTTTGAAATAATATCTGTGTACATGCCAGTGACTTCATTCCACTTTATCTCTGAAGGCTTTTTTAGCTTTAATCTTAAAGCATTTGCACAAAAGCAAACATGAATTTTCAAGTAAAATACAAATTTAATCGAAGTTTTTAAGTTTTTATCGCCTATTAATATTTGGCAACTATTTAAAATATTACTAATTTAATGGAATGTTTCAAAAACAAAATAATTTTCTTTTAGAAAAATACTGTTGTAAAAAAAATGTAAGATATAACTTTCAAATTGAGCTGCCGTCTGTTAATTAATACGCTTTTAACTCGTTTATTGATCTTACAATTTGGTTTCTGATTATTATTTCCGTTTGTGGCCAGTTAATTGCACTTTATCTTATTGATTTTAATACTTATTAAAAAACCTATTCAACAAAGTGCTATTTTTGTGACCCTGAATGTCTTAAATAAATGTTTATATGCTTCTTTCTAACAAACGCAGACAAAGTGTTACTTTTTTCGTGACGCCCACTGTGGGGGAGGATATTGGGCAGCAACAACAACCACATGCGCCCCGCCCAAGCACTCACGCACACACACACACTCACCTATGTACAAACAGCAGACGGCGAAAAAAGAAGTGAAAAATGCCGGCCGGCACTCGCTCACACACACATAGACCAAATCTGAAGTTTAAACCATACAAAAAAATAACAAAAAAGAAAAAAAAATAGTCAACAAAAGCAGGCGGCGACAAAAGCGATTTAACAGCTGCAGAAAAAAGTTACAAAGCAGAAGAAAAGAAATGAAACTGAAGAGAAAGAGCAAAAAGTAACGGACTAGACCAGCACAATAAATATTTATAACAAATCCGCTGCCATTTTTGCAATCAATGAAGAAGCGCATTCAACAAAAACCAGTTAGTTTGTTCCCCCCTGTCCCCGCCCCCTCTTCTTTGTTACCCCCTTTTCTGCATAAAAGAAATTACCGGCGATCCCCCCATCCGAAAAATTGAATAAAGTTAAGTTACCCCAGTACCTTCAAAGATCATTAAAAAAATAAAATTGGTAAGCTCACCTTGATTTGGTTTTTGGCGTTGGTTTTTTGGATTGGCAAAGAGGATTACTGCAAATTGGGATGCTGGCGGGGTCGGGCCTTATATATATCTATCTGTATAGCTGTACACTTGGCGGATGTTAACCTCGGATTTCTCGCGAAGCGGAGCTCTTGACGTCACAAATTTAATACTGGCGCTCGGCGGAGATCCCCGGTTTTTATACCGCCGCTAAGCAAGCTTGGCGTTAACACGGCGTTTTCCTCCATTGCATTGTCGGTCACACTTGGCTTTGACGGCGTTATTCAAAGAAGCAGGCCTGGTCACACTGGAAAGATAACTGTCAGTTAGCAAGTACACCCACCAGAGTTAGCAAAGACATCAGCAATTAGTAAATACAATCACCTATATGATATGGAGTTATCGAATTTAGGTTATCGAGGTTTTCCCATCGCTAGAAATGTTATTGCGAATTAGCAAAGACATCTTTCGGAATAGCAGATACACGCTGCTTTTATATCCGATACACCCACCTGTCGTAGCGAGTACGCCCTCCATGACATAGCAGAGTCACATTTAGCCTGTTTTAATACCCTAATGGCCTAAATAAAATTCAAATGGGAAAATTAAAATAAGAATTAACAATTATAAAACATAAAAAAAGAGAAAAATATGAGTTTAATAGAATGGAAACACTATTAGTAGAGGTACTTTGCAAAATCTTAAATTTTATTAGGCGTTCAACATATTTTAATCCATTTAAGATACATATGTTTTCTTGTATTCAAATTTTAAAATCCTATATTATTTATATTCATACATTAGATTCCCCGAAATGGCCCCATAAACAATGTATAGTCATTATATACACAACTCGCAAGCTCCAAGGGTTTATTTAGTTTGGAAACTTTGTTGTGGGTTTAATTTTTCAAGACACGAGCTGTGAAGAAATTCAAGGAACAATAAATATACAACCGATGTCAGCAAGCGACTAGTATTACAACGCTTCTTTTATATTTGTAAACTTTATTTAAGCTAAACTTGCTTTAAAAGGCATTACACAAACTTCAAGTAACTCAATTCTTATAAATATAATTTGCACACTTAGTGGGTAATTTGAAGTAAACACAATAATAAAATCGTTTTATCAATATTCCTACAATGAGCATGAATAGCCGCAATTACTTGGATTGAAATCATATGAATCTCTTCGATGGAGGTATCATCCATCAGTACATTACTTTACTTTAATAAGGCTGTTAGCTATCTAGGTGGTGACTCATCCGTATGTACAATCTCGATGGGAATGGGAAGGGGGAGTCCTAGCCCTCGTGCTACGCGTAGTTGGCGGAGCGGCACTCGTTCCACACCCGGGTCATCTCCTCGGGGTCGCCGAACTCGTGCGAGGCTATCACCGAGCTGTAGCTGTCCGGACCTCTGTACGCCGGCCGATGGAAGCGGAAGTCGTCGCAGTGCTGCAGCGGAACGCCCGCCTTGAGGGCCACAATGCCCAGGTAGACGTCGTCGAAGCGGAAGAGCGGCAGGTGGACACTGGCGGCGTACAGCTGGAGCAGCGCCTTGCGGGAGAGCAGGAAAGCACCGGCGGTCACGTACGGCGGCCAGCGATCAAAGGGATACTCCTCGAGCGAAACGTACCACTTGCTGAACTTGTGGCGCAGCGGCGACGTCTGGAACACATGGCCCGCGAACAGCAGCTCCGGCTGATGGCTACGACGTCCGCGGCCCAGGAACTTGAGCACATTCTTGGCCGACACATAGTAGTCGTCGTCCACGAAGAGGTAGAAGTCGCTGCGATTGAACTGCTCGCTGGCCCAGCGCATCCCCAGCATGGTTTTCAGTGTGTTGTTGAAATAGGCGTCCGTGAAGTCCGCCTGCAGGATGTCGCCATGCTCGCGGGACTCCCAGGCCACGTCCTTCTCGCTCTCCTGGCCGCTGCCCAGCAGGAAGACCCTGCGCAGGTGGACATCCGAGAAGCGGCTCTCGTATCCCCACGTCCGCCGGATGGCCTCACGCCGCTGTGCATTGGCCACGGCGCTCTTGATGAGCAGGGTAATGCGGGGCGGCTGATCCGTCTGGATTTCGGCAGTGAACGAGGGCATCCGCAGGTAGGAGAACCTCTGCAGGCCAGATCCCGTGGCGGTGTCACCGTCCAACAGGGGATAGCGGAAGTGCCGCTCGAAGTCCAGCTCGTGCAGGTGGATCAGCAGGCCGCAGTAGTCCACCAGCAGGATGAGGGGCAGGACCAGGAGACATCGCAGCAGCAGTTTGCGGTGTTTGCCCAGCATTTGCATTGCGAGGTGAACCAAAACAAAATCAAAAACGACAGCTGTGGTCACACTGGGGTGTGAAAAATACCAGAAGGTGCGGGTTATTACACTGGAAAAAAACGTGGGTCATGTAACATTTCTTAATATATTGAATATTAATTGCCAATAGATAAACCATTACCTGGCTACAGTTATTGACCTCAAATCTATATCTAAACCATATTTAAAACATATTCCCTAAGCGTTTTCCTGAATCGAATGCTCACAGGCAAGAAACTTAAACATTGCAAATACTAGTCAACTAATCTACATCATTTTTAAATAATAAATTATTTTTTATGTCAAGTGTATTGTCTTTAGTTTCTAAAATTATTTAATTACTTAAATTCTTTTTTAGAAGTAAGATAATTGAAATTATTCTACACACTTTCTACATGCATTTAGTATGTGGACTGGAAAATACCACAAGCCCTTTGGGTACCTAAAAATACCAGCTGGATACAGAAGCGCTCGCGTGGAATGTCAAATTAACAAGAAGAAGCATTTCATATACAAAAATTCAAAACAACATTTTCTTGCGAAATTCGAAATGTCCGAGGAAGTGACCACCGACGCAGTGGCTCCGCCGGCGGAGCAGGCCTCCAAGCTGACCAATGCCCAGAAGGCGCGGATCGAAAGGAATCTGGCCAAGGCGCAGAGATTGCGGGAGGCCAAGTTGGTTTTGCATCCCTTCAAGGATCTGGCCAGGTGAATTATACCCCGTCCATTTCCCCTGCAAGATTACATCCAATCCCCCTTAGCAACAAGGACGGCAGCCATCCGGAGGCGGCCCTCAGCCAGGGAAGCTCTGTGATTAAGGTGCAGGGCACCAAGTACATCGACTCCGGCGGCGGCTTCCTGCTGGAGCAGCCCGTTCTGCCCGCGGCACCGGGTGCAGCCGGTGCAACCGGTCTCAGGTCCGCCGAGGAGGCCCCGCCGATCCTGGACGATGCCATCGCCATTCCCGTGCAGTACGAGGAGTGCCTGGAGTGCGGCGACATGTTCGCCGACTCCTATCTGTTCAACAACTTTGGGCACTCGGTGTGCGACAAGTGCCGCGACAACGACGACCGCCATGCCCTGATCACCCGCACAGAGGCCAAGGCCGAGTACCTGCTGAAGGACTGCGACTTCGACAAGCGGGAGCCCAAGTTGCGCTACATCAGCCGCAAGAATCCGCACAACGTGCGCTGGGGCGAGATGAAGCTGTACTTGCATCAGCAGATCCATCAGCGCGCCCTGGAGGTGTGGGGCAGCGAGGAGGAGCTGGTGCGCCAGCACGAGTCCCGCGAGGACAAGCGCGAGGTGGGCAAGGCGCGCAAGTACAACAAGCAGATGAAGCAGCTGCGCATGGAGGTGCGCAGCAGCATCTACACCAAGAAGACGCACGCCGTCCACGAGCACGAGTTCGGCCCGGACACCTACAACGAGGAGGAGGACACCTACACCCACACCTGCCTCACCTGTCCGTACAGCGAGACCTACGAGAAGATGTAGGGCTAACACTAGTTTGTAGAAGGGGCATTTGATTTGATTTCCCCAAATGAACAGAAGAGATTGCAAGAGCATGTGAGCCTAGTTTTGTAGATGGTGGTTCTCCATTCAAGACCCCAAATGATTTTTGTGAAGAATCAGTAATGCTGCTAAAGAAATAGTTAACCAGCTCTTTTTTTGTCTAAGTTAAGGTCCCTAACTTAAGAAACTTATGCTATAAACAAACAATTAAGAAACACTTTGGAGTTATTTGAAAACCTTGGCTGGCTTGCCAACAATACGAATATGAAGCCACTGCCATGGAATTAATCATTTAACAAATATCTTTTTCTTCTTCCTGGAATTTTGTCTTATAATTTCAAAGAATCTGAAGTGAATAAATAAAATTTGAATCATTAAATGGAAATGGAAATGGAACAGACCTAAATATTATTTTATTATATTATTTACATAAAAATAGTAAAAAAAATTATGATAGTCATACCTCGTTGGACTCGTAATTTCCCATACATTGGCATTCAAACCAGTACATTTTTACTTCTTGCAATTTTTTGCAAAAAGTCGTGTAGTAACAACTTGTAAAATATGCAATAATTGGTAAAAAAAAATAAATTTTTCTAGAAGAGATGGGGATTGTTAGCATATATAGCAAGCTGTTCAAAACAGTCAGTTTTTTAGCTGTACGCCTTGATTTGGTTGAGCTACGATGAAAAAATCGAAAAAAAAGAGAATTTTTGACCAAAATCCGAATCCTAAAACAACCGAGCTACCCCCTTACAAAAAATGAAAAAATTTGTCAAAAAATAAATCTTCCTTAAAATGATGGGGATCGATAGCAATTGAAGCAAGCTGCTCAAAACAGTCGGTTTTTTTGCTGTTCGCCTTGATTTGACTGAACTACGATGGAAAACCCACTAGAAAATGAGAATTTTTGACCAAAATCCGAATCCCAAAACAACCGAGCTACCCCCTTACAAAAAATGAAAAATTTTGTCAAAAAAAAAATCTTCTTTAAAATGATGGGGATCGATAGCAATTGAAGCAAGCTGCTGAAAACAGTCGGTTTTTTTGCTGTACGCCTTGATTTGGCTAAACTGCGAGTGAAAAACCGGATAAGAATCAGTATTTTTTAAAAAAATCTGAATACTTTATTTTCCGCCCAAAAATGCCATTTTTGGCTGGGATTGAATTGCTTTACATGGCTTAAGCTGCAAGTTTTTCGGACCTCGGGCTTAAGATTTATATGTCAAATCGTTTCTTCAGCCGGCTGATCTTTTTGTTTTGTAAAGATATTTTTAGTGAAAAAGATAACAGATATCTACATATAATTTAAAATAGTTTACAGAACCAAATTCTTTTCATAAGTCTTACAAATCATCATTACTTAAATATTTTGCGCTTCAAATTTTGACATATTAATATGGCTCAAATTTAAGTGTCTCTTATCCAGTTCTCACAATCCTGAAAAAGATGTAGATATTATTGATTGAGTAAAGCTTTACATTTAGATAACTTTACCAAAGTGGCCTCTCAAATTGTTGGCGCTGGCTTCCATTCAGACGGCACCAAAAACGGGTTGCCTTTTTCAATAGATCATCTGCCGCCAAATCTTTGTTCTTCCTCTGAAACTTGCGAATGAAATGAATATAGGCTACGGCGGAGCCCAACCGATTTTGGTCGAGAGTCTCTGGACTGGGATTCTTCTTAATGGATTTGGATGGCTTTCTTTCCTTCTTGTTCATAGACTCCCTCTCACTGGCAAAAGGAGAGCGAACTGGACTGCGTTTCTCCCGCTCAGATTTACCGGGGTTTTCCCCATAGGACTGATTCTCAAACTCCTGAGGAGCACTTTTTGCACCCTTTTGCACACGTTTGTTTAAAATTTTTAGATATCAGTTATGACTAAGATATTTCCTATGCTTACCATATTTTTAAAGAAGTCCTTTTCCTCGAGGGTCAACTGATTCCACTGCATGGCTCCGAAACGTACCATGTCATTTGGGGAAACTCCGCAGAACGTCTTTTTGTACTCCATTAAGAAGTTTAGGTAGCCATTGTTTGTCAAGCGAGCTAATTTTTGAAAATTGTAAATTGGTTTTTGAAGTGCCTTTCTACGCTTTGTTCCGTCCATAGTTTATTTTTGTTTTAAACTACAATTTTGCTCTAATACGACACTGTCTACACTGAATATGAATGTGAATACTGATTCTGATTGAGAAGCTGTTCTCCCAGCTACCTACGATACTTTTTTAAACCAAAAAAAGGCTTCTGTGAAATTGTTTACTAAGCATCTATGATCCAAACTATTTAGTACATAGTAGACTCTTACTTTTAACTAACTAACTCAACTAACTGAATTTCGAACATAGTAGGCAGTTGCTTTTAACTTCTAGCTGAAATGTGGACATCAGTTCAATCGTCTTCGCACAGTCAAGTCGTGAACTTCTCTAAAATCATTTTAATAGATATTAGGCAAAGTTCAGCATTTTTTAAATTTTAACATGATCCCGATAATATTTTTCTTTGCCGTGTCCGTCCTGACGGCTCTTTTTTCTTGCATTATTCCGCCGTCGAGTCTCGAGATGATCGCCCTGGAGCAAATGATCGAAGAGTTGTTTGAAGCTATCCGGGAGGACGGCCCCGACGTGGAGGACCTGGCATGATTGACTAGATCAAGAAAGAATTAGATGAATATATCTAGGAATGACTGGAAGTGAGCCGATTCTTGGAAACAGCACCCACCCAACCAGCTACTTACATCAAATATTGTATGCTAAATAAAAATATTATAAAAACTAATATTTAAAGAGGAGAAATAAGTTATATCAGGTTTGTCAAAATGTTTTAATTTTAATGCCAGGCGCAATGAGACCTAAGCATGATAAAGCATACACACAAAGCATACACCTTATATAGGACGGCATAATGCTAATATTTCAAATTTATTTCCATATATCTTAATGAAATAATCAAGTTCGCACGAAATTGTTATTTTTGAATTTGAATTACCGTTGCTGCTAAAGCGAAATCCAATTATCAAACGCAAACGGTCTCTCTACAAGTTTGGAACGAGTCTCGGCTAAGTAAGCGAGGACAGTAACTGGGGATCCACTATATTGAGATGTGCTAGGGCTGCCGAAACCATCGGTACGTGGAAATGTGGCCGTACGCCGTACAGCTGAACTTGGAACATGGTCACATTCCTATTTGATATATTTTCACATCCCCAATGCAGTATTGTTTTTTTTGAGCTGTGCGGGCGTTTCTCGGGGGCGTTTTTCGTGAAAATCTACGCACGGACTTTTCGTAGTTTCCCGATAGTAACCATCCGTTTGTTTTTTTCCGCTTTTTTTTCTGTTCTCCGCCACTCTGTTTGGGACTGCAGTTGGGGAATAAGTGTCCGAATTATTTGTGAATCACCGATGGCCGCGGGCGGTGGAAACTGCACCTTTGTGGGATGCTGCTGGCTGCCAATGCAAATGGAATCGGAATTGGAAATGCAAATGCACTCGGCGCAGGGCGGCCACAATAAATAGCTACAAGAATTCTAGTATGCAATTGAATTCATTCAAGAAGGACAATATATTACCTGGCAATTGGAAACTCGATTGAGAATTATTCGAATTGGAATTGAAATTGTAACTGGAGTTGGAGTACTGGGTGTGCGAGCGAAAGAGAGGGCGAGAGGCAGCAGTCACACAGACACACGAACCCAACACACACACACTCACTACTCCAGTGCATAAAACTCCAAACTCCAAATTGCGTTCGTCTCTCTCTTCGTTTCGTTTGCTCTCTCCCCTTCGTTCGCCCACGCAACGCCTGCAGAGCCAGAGAGAGATAAAAGGAGAGCAAGGGAGCGAGCTGGAGTGCGAGTGCGAGAGAGCAAGGAAGTGGTTTTTCCACCGAAAATATGGACAAAGGCAGACTGCAGAGTTAGCTGAAAAAAAAGGCAGAAACGAGACACAAACAGAAACAGAAATAGCGGTTAACAGTGCTCCCTTACTGCGAATCGTTGAAATTCAAGACGGATCGCTATCGCATTTCTTCAATTATGTCTGTTTCGCTTTTCATTCCGCTGCAATAAGCGATCGCACAACACAGAAAGGGGCAGAGAGAGAGAGAAAGGAGACAGGGCCAGAGCGAGAGCGAGAGAGAGTGCGTTCTCAATTGACGACTCCACTCCCACACACACACCCCCCGCCCCCTCGTCCCCATAATTACTATGGATTGTGGTGGTATTGCGGCACATCAACAACAACAACTACAGCAACAACTGCACTTACTCCAGCAACAGCTACAGCAACAACAACACCATCAGCAGCAGATACAACAACACAACCTCGAGGAAGCAGCAACAATAACAAATGTAAGTATCTCCCAATCCCAAGTTTCTCCAAATGTGTTTGTGTTTCTCAGTTATTTCCTCTGTACTTCATAATTCGAACCCACACAAAAAAAACAATCATAGGACAGAGTTACACAGAGAAAAAATGGATGTGAAATATTTACATTTATCATATCATTTTAATGTAATTATGTAATAATAATACATTTTGTAATATTATTTTTGATAGGTTTTTTTATCTCGTTTAAAATTGTCAAAGTAATTATGAATAATTTATCATTTTATATACATAATTCTTTCTGTGTATTTAAGATGAATTTTATTCTAAAGGTCTTGTACATATTGATATATATTTACTAACCAACATTTAAGTGAATTATAATTCCCAATTGGTTATTTGCCAAGTGTATTCATCATATTACAACATTATAAATATGAAGGAGCTAATAGTTTGATAGTTATTTATCTTCATGTAGTAAAGAGAATTAGTAATTTGGTTAAATCCATAAAATATATCCATGTCGTAGGGCCAGATTTTTTCCTAACCAAATTTTCCATTCGGCTCATTCAAATGGACCGAAGAAAAATGAATAAAAACGAACTCGGAGAGTGGGATGATTAATCTGTAGACCAGCTGCTGGGGCAATAGCAACAACTCAACGCCTTGAAAGTTCAACAAAGTGCCGACACATTAATTGGTGTACTAACTTTTTCGCTCTTTCTTTTGCTTCTTTCTCCGTTCTTACCCCATTACTTTCACCGTGCATAAATTCTGAAAGAGTTGCCGATCGTTGGAGTTTTGTTCAGTTTTTTTATTTTTCTTTTTTTCTGAAGTTCTGGGTTTGTTTATACGAGAGCAGAGAAAAACCCGATTCCATTCCCGATGAAAGACGATGTGCGATACAATACGGCAACAACAACGAAGGCGACCAAGTTGTTGTTGCTGCCCCTTTGTTTTTGCCGCAGCAGCGGGCGCTCGTCCGCCCCCTTTTGCGTCTTTAGTTTCCATCAGTTTGTGGCATACCCCCGACAAGGAAGGTCCATTAGTTTCCGGATCAGGATGGTGGTAATACGCAGATAAAACAAAGGCTTAGTTTAGGCATTTTGTGAATAACATGAAGAACTATACTATAAGTTTGATGTTTATCGTTTATAGTCTTAATATTCAGATACAACCCATTACTGTTCCAAAGCGAAACGGAAAAAGTATCAAAATTTCTAAATTAGTATCCCATATTTTGCATAATATGCTTGATTTCAAATAGTGTTCCATAGTTAAATGTCCTTAAATCATCTAATTATTATTTACTACTTATCTTCTTTTAATTGAATGACCAAAATTATTATAACTTTTGCAAGGATATAACAAAAATGGATTGCTTAAACTGCTTATAAAAAGGTTTAGACGAAATAGAATATCATTTAAGGATTTTTGTGATAAAAATGTTGTTTGCTAAACTGTTTCCTACCTTTGTGGGAAGCTGCAAGGCTTTCAGCACTGACAACATACAATAAGTAAATACAGTTGTATACAACTATCCCAAGGATCCCAATCCCAATCCCACGACGTGACTGCGTGCACCTCAAGGATTCACAGCAGGACCTCTGTCCTCCCGGTGCGTGTCAAATTTGCTTAATTGCGCCCATAGGTCAGCAAAATTCGGCAAAAATGCGTTTTACCTACCCATTTCGGCTTGTCCAGCACGCACAAATTTTCATTTTCCCAAATGTAAATATTACACATCAGCAAAAAGGCAATGCGTGCCTATGAATAGTTGAATGAGCTGTTGTGTGACAGCAATAAAATTTAAAAAAACAACAAATTGGGATGTAAAAGTAGGTAATATCACATTGTTTTGCAAATATAAATTGTTAGACAAACAGCATGCGAAACCCATCCAATTGACATTAGCAGTTAAACTTTTAAGCTGTTCATAAATAGTAATATGTTATATAAACAATGTTTTAGAAAAAATTAATTTTCCTCACATTTGTATAAAGCTTAAACTTTTTAGGGTCATTTGTACAAAAATATGTGGGTGCTAAAGAGTTCTTCAAAGGAGCAAAACTGACTAATCTTTAGGAAGTGGAATATTTAAATTCATTATTCATATTTCATTAAATCTATAGAATTTAAAAAAAAGCTAAAATGTTCGTCTGATTTTTTCTAGACCTTATTATTTTGTTTGGTTTTAAATAATCTACTTGGTGACTGCAAGACTTAAATTTTTTTGGTTGGAATAGTTTTTTGTGACCCCTGATATGCAAAAGCTTACAATGTATGTAAGTCACGTTTAAAAACAAAATTTTAGTAATAATCCTTTCTGAAACGAAATAAATTGCTTATGATTGTAAGGATGTATCTTATACCGAAAAATCCCCTAACAAAAAAAGGAGAAATACAAAGCTTTTGCCAAAAATATAAGACAAGCCCACAAAAGTGAGCCAAGTTAGCCCATTTTGTTTAGTTTTAGAGCACATGTATCTTAAGAATGTACGTGCTTAGATTAGGCTATGGGTCCGCAGAACAAATGCATGCACATATGTAAATATCTTCGGTACCACCCCCTACTTTTCTGACAGTGCACGCACTTGCATCTGCCGCCGACCAGGGCTGCCAATTTGCTTGCATCCGCAGGCCGGTTGGCAGCACTGGCAGCTCTCTCGCGTTTGTTTTGCTGTGTGCTTCGTCGGTGTCGTGAGTTCGTTTCCGAGTCTGTCGGCTTGTCAGTTTGTGAGTTTGTGAGTGCGCCATTTGAGTTTCGACCGACGCGCGCAGGAGACGTGACATCGCAGAGCGGAAAGCAAAGGCTGGCAAGGCGAAGCGACACGAATCGAAACGAAAGAAGAAGACGAGAAGCAGCAAGTAACGAAACTGAACAAACGGAACGGCGGATGCGAGTGCGAGAGTGATTGGAAAAAAGAGCGCGCGCGGAATTCGAAGTGCACAATTATTCAATTTTATTTTTATTTTTTTGACTTTGCGTTCCGTTTCGGTCCAAATACGTAGCCTCTTTTTTTTTTGTCTTTTTTTCCACTCTTGTTGGCTGCTGCGTTTATTAAGTTCCTTTAAAGTGCCCTGATCCATTGTGTTGTGATTGCCGCTTTTATATACACAAAAACAAACATCGGAAGGAGGCAGCACATTGCGCGGGGTAAATGAAGCAATAATTAAAAGTGCCTTTTGTTAACTGCCAGAAAAAAAAGAAGAGAGGGTGAGTGAAGGGGGCGCGAAAAAGAGACTGGGAACGAAAAACAAAAAGAGAAAGATAGGAGTTGTGTGTTGATTTTTGGCAGTTTTAAGTTTGTTCCCAGTTTTAAACCGAAAATTAAAAATCAAGTCTTACATTTGTACACTTTATCTTTTTTTTTATTACCGATAACCTCATTTCTTTTAAAGCATGTGTAAATATCTATTAAACAAACATCATGAGCAAGTGCAGATTAACACTAACTGAAAACTATAAATGTAGTGGTAGTTCACATGTAAATTAACCCTTACTTCAGCGACAAGTTGCAGGTTATTTTATTTTACTTATCAGTTCATCAAAGTAACAAAAAACGTTCTTTTTAAATGGAAAGAAATGGGGAAAATTCAATCATAAATAAGAAAGGGTAGGCCTTGAGTCGATTTTACGATTGTTTACTTTGTCTTCCATTTGTTGCGCCCTCGGAAATGGCTTTTAACGGGCAATTGAAGCGGAGGTGGCAACCCTGGTAACTAGTACTCTCCCTTGTGACTTTTGCCGGTTATTCGCTCAGTCATATGTGCGTCATTCCACCCCCTTCCCCTCCCCCGCATCTACCAACCCCCCGCAGAGAGTCACCCGCATACTCGACTGACTCCTTGGCCACTCTCTTTTCGCCCACTCCTTTACTTCCCCTTCGCCAAATTGCACGTTCGTCAAATATTTGCTCAACTCTTTTTAATTACATTACACACACTCACGCACACATACCCCTTTTACGTGTACGCACCCAGTGGCTTACGCAGGGGGTGTTTCGCGGTTTAAACCCCCTTTCAAGGATTTTATGACCGCCAAATATTAACTTTAAAAGATTTATGTAAGTTAACATTTGAACAAAAAAAAAGAGGAAACCGCTTTGACAAATTCCTGCGTATGCCACTGGCACGCACACAGTCCAAAAACAGATTGTAATTGCAGATCTCTCACCGATTCAACGGGAAAATGGGACCAAAAAGAGAGCTGCATTCGGAAAAGTGTGACTCACGAGGCAATTCGTGGAAGTTCTGTGATTGATTTTATAGATTCCAAGAGAGAAAAAGGCACTAGACCTAGACCAGTTTTGCCCATTAATTACACATGTACATATATCTGTCGTGGGCATTTTTCATCTGGTGGGGGCTGTTGAGAATTCCTATACCCTTAAAGGAGACATTTACGACCCTATGAAGTATCATAATATCCTATCTAAACTAGAGGCTGGAAAAATTGGAACTCATATCTGATACCTACATCGATCTAGATCTAGATAGATATCAAGTTTCTTTACCATTTTGGCTTGTTTTGAAGAGGATCTATTATTAAGGAAATCTTGAATTGAAGATTTGGTTGTTTTTGAAGACTACACCTGGTTTCAGGAAAAATCAGCGTTCTACATTACATTGCTTACATAATTTTTGTAATGGCCCACTTGACCGAGTGATCCGTAATGGAAATGTACTGCTGCGATTGCATTAGCCCTCATTTTTTGATTTTGGCCCACACCCACCCACACATGTTTATTTCGTAAATCCCTGCACGCAATCGTAGCCATGAAATGTGGGATTTTCGCCCACAAACATATCTTTCTCCCAAAATATTTAATATTTTCTATAAGACTTTGGGGGGAAAATACTGATAGGTTACTTATGTTCATCCTTATCAAACTAATTATATAAAATTCTTTAAGAAATAATAAGTTTGAAAGCCTGATCCGATCTGGAAAACTATAGAACATGCTCTGCGTGCTACAACATTTCTTTAAAACAGTCTATTACAGAAAGTGCCATAAAGATT